AAAAGGTAGACACAACCTAAATGTCCATCAACAGATAAATAGTTAAATGAAATACAATATCTACATACTTGCAGTGGAGTGTTATTCAGCCATAAAGAGAAATGAAGTTCTGTTACCTCATATAACATGGATGGACCTTGAAAACATGCTGAATAAAGCAAGTCAATCACAAAAGGACAATATTGTATGATCTTATTTTACTGTGGAGGGGTAACCGCTGCTTAGGAAGCACTGAGTATCTAATAATGGTGATACAAAATTCGAAAATGGGTACTGGTGATGGTTGCACATAACTGATGTAATTGGTGTCGCTTAGTTGTACGTGTGAAAAATGTCGAATTACAAATGTTGTGTTAGCTATAGCTGTACAACAATTTTTAAAGGAGGGATTGCCTATTTAGTGAGCTAAGAACATATCTAGTACCCCTACTTGACAATTCAGCTGATCTAAATTGAAGTATGTACTTTGGAGCTGATCATACTGCAGATCCAAAGTACGTACTGATGGGCTGTTCAAAAGGGAAGTCTGAATTTTGAAACATAAAGAAAGTCTGCTTTTGGCTATCTGAGAGACTTGATATATTGCTGTTAATCAAGTTGGTATCTTTGAGAAGGGTTGTGAAGTGGAAAGCTGACAAGGTACAGGGTCAGAAAAATCTGAGTTTGAATATTACTTTATACCTTTCTGGGCCTTATTTCTGCACCTATAAGGTAAGTTTTGAAGGGATATTGTGAAACTTTGGGTGTGAAAATTTAATAAAAGTATAAATGAAGTGCTTAGTCCAGTGGTTGATTACTATGTTTCAGAGTAAACAATATTCTTTCTATCTCCCGTTCTCTTTCTTTTACCCAAATTTTCAGAGACTTGGAAGAGATGCTGCTGGCTTACAATAACTGATGTCAAAGCAAAGTCACACTTTTAGATGTGGTACTGTAAGTTGAGCAGGATGGTGGCAACAGCAAGATAGGTAGACACATAGAGACCTGCCAGAGAGGGGTAGGAAAGGGAGCTGGGAGGTTAGATTCTAAGCAAGTAGCATCTCTTCCAAGTCTCTGCAAATTTTAGGAGAAGGAAGAGAATGGAAGAGAGAAAGAGAAGGAAGATGGAATGGGATCTATGAAGAGGACCAAGTGACTGAATGGAGAAGGAAGGATCAGTGTGAATCTACGTGGCCACTGAACCTCTCTTGCTCATGCCTCTAGCCATGTCAGATTGTCCCTCCTGTTCTTTGTTTTATATTTAATTTACCTTGGTTTTGTAGTAAAGTAATTCTTGACAATATCAGACCACTTGTGTGTTTCTCAGTGCACAGCTCCTCACTTCAGTCATTTAGATATGAAAAGTAATGTGTTTTGGTAACTGGTGTCTTGCTGGTAGCTACAAAGCCAAGTAAAATTTAGGGGCTAATAAGGAGCAAGAGAATATAATGAGGGCTTCCCTAGATAAATTTATAAATAACCAACATCAGTATGTATTACCTGATAAAATACTTAAAGGAGTAATGCTACATGTGTACTCTAATGGTCCTGACTTTCCATTCATTTGGATTAGGCGATTCATCAGTTCATCAGGAGAATTACTTCTTCATTACATTAGTCATTTTCACCAAACCACATTTTGCTTCTTCTGGCTTTCTCCCGACAGAGAGAGAAGCAGAAAACCTAAAGACTGAGAAAAGTTAGCATGCTGCTACAATACACGGCAGACACTTTGGAAACACTGCCCACAACCCACATGTGTACACACTCATGCATTACCTGGTACTAGGGAATCACCTGAAAAAATAATAAGAAAGGAATGGTGGCACTGTGTGTTAAGTGTTGGAATGCTAACCAAAAGGTTGGTGATTTGAACCCACCAGCTGCTCCTTGGGAGAAAGATGTTGCAGTCTTCTTTGTACAGATTTAGTTTTGGAAACCCTACGGGGCAGTTCTACTCTATCCTATATGGTTGCAATGAATTGGAATAGACTTGACAGCAATGAATTTGGTTTGGATTTTGACACATGGAATCACCTGAACAAATAATGACCACTTAGTTTTTCATACCTCCACCATATCCATTCCTGTATCCCCTGACACTAGAGAGCCCATTGATATATCCTGATGGCAAAGTAAAAAGCAATGCCTCTCTTGTTGTAGCATTTATGTCCCCTTTATGAGTCCCTGGCTGGTTCATGTTCTTGGCTGCTAAAAGAAATGTTGGGGATTTGAGTCCATTTAGAGGCACCTGGGAAGAAAGGTCTAGTGATCCGAAAAATCAGTCATTGAAAACCCTTTGGGGTATGGTTCTACTCTGACACACCTGGGGTTTCCATGAGTTGGGGCCATTGGAACCAATCAGTTCTTAGTAGACATTCCATGGACGCTGAAGGCCCAGGGGACTACACTCATTTTTTAACCTGCTGAAAACTGAATTTAAGAGCTACCAGGGACTATCTGCCACAACCACCTATTCTCTTTTCTGGAATGCTTTATAAGTCCAGAATCTCCAAAGTAAAACCAATAAATAAAAAAACAACTTACCTTAAATCTTAATCAATCTGAAAAGCAAAGCCAATGAATACATGGATACCTTCTTTCTTTGGAATTCCTCTTCCCATCTGACCCCTGGAATGTTGCCTTTATCTTCAGGATCAGAGAGATATTAATCACGTATTTTCTTTCTGATTCAAGCAGTTCTAGAGCCACAGTCTGTCTTTTAGCTTTAAAAACAAACCAAGGATGGAATTTGTGTTAACCACTCCTTCCCCAAGCCCTATAAAACAACAGAAAACAGTAAGAGTCAAGAAAAGATTATGAAAGCAATAAAAAGAAATGTCAGTTTGTTTTGGGAAGCTGAAAAGCCAACTGGAGGTGTGGTAACTGGTTCAGCAGACCAAAGGGTGCACAATTTTGGTGGTTCCATCAACAGGTGAGAAACCTGCTGAGAGGCAGAAAGGCTCGATTCAAGTATTAGAGGCAAAAGATGCTACAGAGAGTAGCAATAAGGGGAAATGTTGAAAACAGGCAAACTCCCTGTATCTCTACACAAGGTGCAATTGGACCATCAGTCCCCACCCCTACTCACTCCTCATGGGAAATGGGAAAAATTCAACTAGAGAAGTGTTTTCTGGGATCTGGGTTAGAGGCATCAGATATAGTTGAGAACAAAGTTGAGAAGTCAGGATTAAAGTAAGGGGACTCAAAGGAAGCTTGTATACTGAACAGAGTTTCCCCTCCCCCCAGTCCGCACCCCTACCCCTACCCACTACAGGTCCCGAATCCCAGCAGCTAAGCTTACACTTGCCAGGCAGGAGATTGGAGGAACTTCACCTGAAAACCTCAACTGCTGAGGTAAAAAAGCCCTACAAACACTGACATTAAAATGTCACTTATTAAATAGTTATTTTGCCACCTGATTATCCCAAAATGAAACCTACTCATTGACAAGCTTGACCAATATGATCAGCCCTGGACTTCAAACTACAAGGTTGGTAGTTCAAACACACCAGCTACTCCTTGAAACCCTATGTGGGGTCGCTGTGAATCAGAACCAACTTAATTAATTAACAACAAGTATTATATAAATGTAGTCCTGGCGTGGTGCTGTAGGATAAGCACTGGACTGCTAACCACAAGTTTGGTGGTTCAAACCCTCTTGCTGTCTCTTAGTCACTAAAAGTGAGAACCACCATTTATCTATCAGTTTATCGTACTGTGTTGGCTTGCATGTCACTGTGATTCTGAAAGCTATGCCACCTGTATTTAAAATGCCAGCAGGGTCACCCATGGTAGACAGGTTTCAGCTGAGCTTTCAGACTAAAACAGACTAGGAAGAAGGAGAGATGGACTACTTGCAAACATTTAGTCACTGAAAACCTTATGAATAGCTGTGGAACATTGTAAGATTGCACCATAATACTCAATATTGAAACATGACAAAGAGCAAATATAGTGCCAGAAGATGAGCCCCTCACATTGGAAGGCACTCAAAATACACTGGGGAAGAGCTGCCTCCTCAAAGCACAGTTGACCATGTTGACTCAAGTGGAGTAAAGCCTTCGGAATGGAACCTTCATTGGCTGATGGGACACAACTCAAAATGAAGAGAAAGAGATGTAAATATCCATTAATAACTAGAACATGGAATGTACAAAGTATGAATCTAGGAAAATTTTGAATCTGACAATCACATGGTTTACTATGTAGGGAATGACAAACTGAAGAGGAATACATCAATTTCATCATAAAAAAGAATATTTCAAGATCTATATTGAATTACAACACTGTCTGTGATAGGATAATATCTATATGCTTAAAAGTTAATAACACTGTTATTCACATTTATATACCAACCACTAAAGCCAATAATTAGGAAATCAAAGAATTCAACCAACTTCTTCAGTCTGAATTTGATTAAACATGCAATCAAGATGTATTAACAATTACTGATGATTAGGATGCAAAGGTTGGAAACAAAGAGGAAGGATCACTGGTTGGAAAATATGGCCTTGGTGATAGAAACGATGCTGGAGATTGTATGACAGAATTCTGCCAGACCAATGACTTCATTGCAAATACATTTTTAAAACAACATAAAGATGACTATACACATAGAACTTACCAGATGGAATACACAGAAATCAAATTAACTATATCTGTGGAAAGAGACAATAGAACTCCATATCATCAACCAAAACAAGGCCAGGGACAGACTTGTGGAACTGATCATAAATTGTTCATGTGTAAGCTCAAGCT